GATAGCTTTGAAATAAGCAGTGATTACCTCCCATGTAAATTAACAGGTGACAGATTCGTCCTAGTTCGTGATGTTCTTTTCATTAGTTACTACGTAGCAGTTGCATTCGCGTAGTTTAGTTTGAAAATACCAATGGAACTCCATGACTATACAATAGAGCAGCAGCAGATTGTTATTCGTTTTTAGGGGTGCAAAATTATTTTGTGCAAAAGATATTCATAAACGAATGTTTTTTCTTTATGGTACGAAAGCTTTAAGAAACTTGAAAAAGCTTTTATCGGGTAAAAGTCGTGCACAAATGATCGAGAAATTTTCTCAAGCCTGCTCTAAAGTCTGAGATGAAAATTGAAATGGTGGTGCCTATCCAGACTAAAGTAGACTCAACAGCAGAGAGGTCGAGGGATTGATTCGAGAAATGTATTGTGCACTGTAATAACTGCAGTAGTGCCTGCTTGGTCCACTAATCACCTTGGACGCAAACTCTTTGTATGTGATAACGATATTCAAGATGAAGTCGTAATGGACAATCGCATCAGATTGTCTGAGTCAAAGGACAATCGCATCAGAACCAAGCAATTTTATGCAGCTGGTATTGGAGCAATAATAAAATGATATGAGCATTTCATTACGTTATTTTGTAATTGCCTTTTGCAACTTACTATTCACTTTCCTTCGTACATATCCAATAAACAACACATCAACTAACAAACAACTAAAACAAATGTGGGTTAAATAAAAACCAGTTATCTCTTAAATACTGAAACTAATTGACATTAATGTCTTTTGCAATGAAATGGACAAGGTATCGATCTTCCATACGGTCTAGCTATATGTCAAATCGTGTGTGATAATAAAAATAATATATTAGTAAATAATAATATACTAGAAAAATAATAATATACTAGAAAATAATAATAATGTACTAGTAAATAAGGATAATAATAATAATTAAGTAATAAATAATAATTATTATTATCATTTAGATTGGAGCATGTTTCAATATAAATCTCAAAATATTATTTTATACAGAATCTTCACCAATCTAAGGTTACTTACCTCTTTAATTCAATATTTTACATATTTTCTCTTAATTATACGTTTTATATGGCGCATTTCTTTTCTGTATAAATTTATTTATTTGCCACTATAAAATAGCCAAGTAAAAGAAAACTTCTTAAAAATGAATTCCATAAGCTTGATTGAAACCAACAAATATCTTAAGCTCAAGCCCATATTAAGGCCTGAATTCTCATCCTTCTTAAACTTTGTAACTTTAAAAAAAAAGGGGGAAGAGAGAGTAACATTACCACGATTTTTCAGTAAACGAAATATTACACTCATGCTCAAAAAATAACCAACAAACTCTGACAGAAAAGATATGAATGTAAAGAAGGGACTTAAAACATATAATTTACATACGGGGTAGAGGCTGCATCTACGAATGCAAACAGGCAACCAAAATTAGCATAAAACGCAATCCCGGAATCACACCACAATACATTAAAAAGGGACATGCCGGACCTATGTGGCGGTTCGGCCAGCAGCGATAGTTCTGTGTAATCCCAGATAGCCAAAGCAAAAAGCATGAGCCGAAGACACCATTTGCACGATGAAATGCATTGAAGGGATGTCGCAAATTAGTGCAAGACAATTCGCTATAGCGAGAGAACTGAATGTGCATCGCAATGTCATCAATAGACTGTGGAATCGTTACCAAAGGGATTAAAACCCCTTTAGAAGATGTTTGTCTGGACACCGGAGTATTACCACAATGGCAGGCCATCGCTTCCTGTTGCTATATGCAAGATGCCGTAGATAGCAAGACAGCTGGTGTTATATCTCTCTACTGTTGCAGGACAGCACATATCCCAGAAAACTGTATCGTGTCGACTGCAATGAAAGTTAATTGTACGCTCGACGACCTGCGGTTTGTATTCCTCTGTCCATATCACATTTCAGAGCGTGGTAGAATTGCACCTGTTAACATCGCAGTTGGATACCAGAGCAGTGAGGCCACGTGCTCTTAACGGATGAGTCTTGATTTAACATCCAGAACGATTCCTGAAAGGCAATGATATGGCTAGAGCCCAGGGACATACTACTACCTTCTAACTACCTTACCTACTAACTACCTTCTATTTAATGAATACGTTTCAAATGGCGAAATATACGCATTTCCATTGCTTGAAAAGCATGCCTGTTGGGAACTTATATTACTTGCCTGACAGTAATATCAGACCAAGTTCATGAATTTTTACTATGATTGATAGGCGAGGATTGCGCATGCCGTTGGCTTAGGCCTTGGTCATTTTATAAGTAAGTGACAGTACGAAATTGCTCAGCTCCGTTCCAGTTTTTAAAGTTTGGTTTTGATTTTAATTTGCTTGATTATGACAAAGCATGCTAAGGCTATCTACCTAACCAGTTTTTAATCTAACTATCTGATTTTGAAGGAGCAATCTCTGATAGATGGATCCCATGGTCTCTCAACTCTCTTTCCCTATCACCAACCAAAGGACTTTAGGCTTAACTGTATTTTAAGTGCTTCCATGCTGCAAAAAGTCTAAACATTATTAAAGGCGAAAGATTAACTGGTATGATGCAGAGAAACCAGAGCATAACTTAATAACATCTATACCTCCTTCGGAATTCGAAGCCGAGTCCAAGGTTATGGCAGCCGACTTTCCTAGCGCCATACCAATAGGGCAGAGTAAAACATATGCACGTTTGAATATGAATGTTGGTTGAATTTAATAAACTCAAATCACTATGAAGTGTAAAGAATGTTATGATTGAAATATGCAGAATTTTTACAGAATAGCAAGGAAAAATTCGCGAGGCGGTCGCGAGGTATGTAATGAAAATTCGCTTAACTTCCGCCACTAGGATTTATATTAACATTTCTGGGTATAGATGAAGCCTCACTATTGAAAGCGTCTATGTACCTAAATAACAATTATGTTATATACTTTAAATTAAAATTTAAATTTGTAAGTTAATCAAATTCTGAAAATGTATTCGACACTGCTGTTTTAAATAAAGATTATCAATGCTGTTAAACATTATTTTTATATACATTATAATATATATTCACAGAAGTTTTTTCTTAAGCAGTCTGTTTCATAAAAAGGATCGTTGGGCCTCGAAATTGTCTGTCAGTTGGTAGTTTGGTCCGGGGTTCAAATCCCACAAAACGGGCTGGCTGCAAGGGCGTTTTCATGATTTCCCCATGTGTAAAGTGTACACGGGCCAGTATCTCTTAAAACGTCCTCTCCGAAGGCATCACTGCCCTTAGGCAGATAGCCCTCGAGTGCTTTGTCATAATCAAGCAAACAAAATCAAAACGATAAAAATACTGTTAATTTCGCGAACCTGAATTAATTTTTTGGACACATTGAGAATTGGTTAGCGTTTGATTCTGGCAAAGCACTGGTTGGTATCCCTGTTGGATTTGAGGATACGCACGAAAATGCCATGCTACCAGCCCGTTAGCCAAAATTTGGACGGGGTCGAACTTTACCAGTCAGTAACTTTACCACTCGGTTGCTGATGAGCCTTTGGATACACTGCAAGCTTTTTCTTTCTCTGTCTTTTTTTTTTTTTTTTTTTTTCTTATATACCACATCAGAATTTTACCGAGTTCCCCTTATAAGCTCGTGATATATAATTGAAGATCTGGTTTTTAAAAATTGCAATTTTTGATTCAGCGTCTGTGAATTCCCTTTCAAATGTGTCATTTGATTCGTTTTAAGAATCTGTCTCTTCAATTTATGAAGACAGTCATTCTGCTGGCTTGGTTGTAAGGCAGCTGGCTGCTTTAGTCTTGAGCGCGAGTTCAAATCTCAAAGAAGGGATGGGTGTTTCTAAATGCAGAATGTTTTTATGGCATGGGGACACTCTAAAGACTGTCGAGCCGAATGTTCTGTCGAGAGGCTGGCGATAAGTAAAGAAAGGTGGGAGATCCTCGGATCCGTTACCCGATGTACTTTTCATTAAAACTGGAGGAAGCTTTCTCTTTGTCGCCGATGTAAGATCGGCCGCCTCTGTGGTGCTTGCTGGGCAATATTCTCGATAATGATGACAAAATAATCGGATGGGTTGAGCCATGCCTGACAAATGATTACTTAGTAAATGAATAACCCTGGAAAGAACAAAAATTGTGATAGCAGAAACCTTTATTATTTCTTCAATCATAATTTCTTCTTTACTTTGATATTCTTCTTTTAACATTTCAGAAATCAGATGTTTAATATCATTTTGCGTTAAATCAGTTAATTTCAAATTACTAGCTGAATAATAGTGAAATAACAACTAAAACACATAATATGCATTTATATCATTTAAAAAAATCATCTTTTTGAAGTAAAAGTTTAATCCGAAGTCTCCCTAATTTTTAACCTTCAGAAATCACCTTTGTGTCACTTGACACAAATTTAGTTATTTGCAGCTTGGAAAATAAATAAATAAATAAGCTAAGTAAATAAAAAAGTAGGACAGCAGTGTTTATTTGAGTGAATACACATAAGGTAACATAAATAATTAATTTTTTAGCCAGATTTTAATAGAATTTAATTAGGACTAACTTTAAAGCATACACTGCAATAGTTTGTAAGGTGAAACTTAAGGAAATTTTGTAAGGTAAACTTCGGAGCCAAAGTTATCGAAAGAAATGAATTCTTTAAGCTCGATGAATCCTAATAGAAAGTTTGCCTTTAGTGAATAAATTTTTAAAAATGTGTTTTTTGTTTGTTAATTTTGTTTTATTTCTGACCGTTGTAATTTAATTTAGCATAATAATTATCTTTTTTTTATATCTGCTCATAATTTCTCGATATAAGGAAACAAAAAACAATGGAAACCATAAGCAAATACTAACCTCAAAATAATGTTTCATTTTCAAAGTTACCTGCTGGGTCTACTATTGGAGAATCTCATAAGCGGAATTAAATTATGCCTATAAATAATAGCATATTAACTTATGAGACGATTACGGGGGCCGCCTCGCTCCCATTTGAAAGAAACCCGTGACGTCATTCTTACGTCATGAAACTCTGGCTTTAAATCAGGGAGAAATATTAAATCAGCCTTCACAATTTAGCAACAGGTCGACAATTGCGGATCTAAAAGGTGAGCTGCAACTTTAATAATTTAATACTTTAATCATTTTTAATGCAGGTTCATTTAATAAGTACTTTCTTACTGTTCCGTTAAATAAAATGCAAACTGGGATTTACTTGTTATTGACGGCTTAATTTTCGCAAATTATGTTCAAAATAAAATGCATTTCATGATCAATTATGACGCACTTTAATTTACGCACATTTAGAGTTTTAGCAAGCATAATTTGCAAATAAAGCCATTTTATAATATAGCTGTGGTATTAGAATAAATTCGATTAATCTTGTAAGGTACAGTAAATGTGTAAATGTACTTAATTTGAGCAATTAATGAATAGATTATTTTATAGTGCACATTTTATTCATTTTTCCCCTTCCAATAATCAATACTTTTCAAGTAATATCATTATTATGAGAATGGTTATCTCATTTTCTAGGACTAGCAATTACACATCGGTAGCGACATGAAAACTGAATAGAAATTATGAAGGAATAATATGCAGTAACTGGTTTAGGCCAAAATAGGACATTTTCTAGTACCTAGCTAAAATATTCTTCACTATGAGCAGATTCTTTGAATTCAAGTTCCTATGTCTGATGAACTTGGCTCGCTGTAAAATGCTCATACTTTCTAATGTTTAACGAACTGTATATCTGAACTGAATGTTCAGGCACTACACCAATAATTCATGTCTGAAAAAAGAAATGTGTATTTTGAAATAAATTTTAACTTTAGCAGTGAATAGAAGGTACAGCACATTGTATGACCCTCTAAACCTTTTTGGGGGGTACGTATGGCTAGACGCGTCAATTCACTCACATTTAATGAAACAATTGTACCTTTTTACATTTTTTAAATCTTTTTTGAGTGAGCCTTAATGAATGAAGTGAGAAACGCAGCTGTTTTGTGCATATGTCACCCACTAATGAGACACATATATAATTTCATTGCTCATTGTTTATTTTCTCTTTATTGCTTGTGTTATTTTTGCTTATCTTTCCTGTGTTTTAAATTAGGGGAAAAATTTCTGAAAAAATTTCATTTATTACTATGCGTTGTTACTGGCTTTCAAATTCAATTTTCACACATTCTTTTCCTTAAAATTTATCTAAGTTTTTCATGCATTTTTATTATTATTATATAGCCGCTATGCGGCCAGCCTTCGTCTGGCTTTTAAATGTACCGGAAAACAAACGTCCTCTCGACAAACGTCCAGTATCCAAGAGAACATTAAATTTAAAAACTGTACAGAATTATCGCCCTCATTTTTCCGAGTGGCAACACTACTAATATCAGCAACAATGGCTGTGTGCCATCTATTTGATGCGATTTCATTAAAAAACATAAAATTTTTTAAAAATAAAAAATAAAACTCATTCGAATTTTGAAAAAATTGCTTCGAAGTGCACTAGCTCTTGATAACATGTACGTTCTATGTACCAAATTTTGTAACCCTGGGTCTATTAGCTTACGGGCGGCAGCACAAACGAAAACACATACACAGACAGACAAACTCTTCCTTTTATTATATGTACAAATTTTATTCTTATGTTTATACATTATAGCTAATTTCCTTCTGAAATTTACACAGTTTGCGAATTTTCTACTGACTCTGGATGAGGGCAGTTTCTTTATAAAGTACTTTTCTTCTGTTTATAAAAGGAAACTTGTTTGAGTAAGCTATTTTATCTTACTGCAGCTTTATAAAAAATGTTTAAAGGTCGGTTATATTTATAATATTATTTTCCATTTTATTACTTTTAATTCTGACTTTTCTGCAAGAAGATTTAATTCTTATCAAACATTTATACTGTCGAATTTTTACAGTTCTTTGAACTATAAACTTTTCTTTATAAATGTCCAAGCATTTCGATTGAAATATTAAATTTAAGCACAAAAGATTAATTTTTTGTAATGGCATTATTTCTCTAAAATTAAAAAGGCATTGGCTATGTAGAAGAATGTCCTTAAAACTAACAGGAAATTTAGTTAGTTAATTTGGAGTTAAATGTCAGCCGGATTTGAGATTAAAATAATTTTGAAGAGAGTTTTATCTCGTCGAAACAAAACAGAAATGAGTTTTAATTGGCTTTAAAGAAATTAAAAGATTTTTGTAAATTTTCAGGCAATTTTTAGACTAAATAAATTTGCTATATTTCTTTAAGTAAAAGAGAGACTTTGCCTAAGGGGAGGATTCCTTTCGGAGGACTTTCTAAGGGAATTTATACACGTTACACATGGGAAAACCACGAAAACCCCATGCATTTCGCGGGATTAACCTCGAACGAACTCCAGTTTCATTACGAAGATAAAAGGTTAGGTTAATTTTTTTCAATATGGCAAAAAATTCGAAGACTATTTGCCTAAACTGACAAGATAAAAATAAATACAAATGACGTTAAACGATGTTTTACTAAAAAAACAAACTAAAACAAGCTTCATTTAATGGCTTTTTTTTTTTTTTTTTTTTTTTTTTTTTTTTTTTTTGTCAATCAGTTCAGAGAAACTTGGAAACAGTATCAGTTTGTATTAAACAAAATTAACCAGCTGAATGAAACTTTCATAAAAACTTATCTTCATAAGTAATCTGCATGGCAAATGTTTTCCAGGTATTTAGTTACTTTTTCTTGAATTATTATCATGAGAATATTTCTTGTAGTAACTCTTATTACAAATCTTGCCATTGGGAAGGGGAAAAAAGGAAAAGAATCTGTAACCAAAATATTGTTGCAGTGCGTACGGGTTCGTAATAAATTGAATGCACAAGTCCGATGAAAAGTGAATAAATTTATTATTATCCCAAGAAATAAAACAAAATGCTGAAATTTTCTCGGATATATTCATACAATATCGCAATATCTCACAGTAGTTATATTTTAAACTACTAAAACGTTTTACAGAACACAATTCAAAGCAGAGTAAGCTAATCCGATCTCACCGAGAATATTCTCTTATTTTCTCGATTTTTCTGGATAGCAAACGAATACAATTACGAGATATCTATTTTGTAAAATGTTAAATGTCGCGTGCTTCTGTATTTTAATTTTTCCTGCATAGCTTTCTCTTCAAATAAGTCTCGTGCTGCATTGCACGGGAATATAAAACAATTTTAACTACAAATTCTACTAAAAGTAGCTAAATAAATGCAAAAACCATAAAAATATGTTATATAAATTTAAATTGCTTAACTTTTGGCGGATATGCGGTATCTCCAAAAATATGATCGGACACTTGATTTACGAAAATAGTGTCTAAACTTTTAAATACCTTGAAATAAATTTACAAAGCGAGATTTCGTTTGAAGTACAATTTTAGTTCATGCACATTACAAATTTTCTCAAAATTAAAACTGATAAATCATGTTGCAGAAGTAAGAGAACACTTATTTTATAACTGGATAAGATTTAATGATTTGTTGAATTGCTTTAACCTTCCAAAAATATGGTTTAATCTTTTTTAGCAGGAATTTTACTAGATATTTTTTAATTATTGGTCAAACTGTTTTTAGTTTTACATTATATGTTTCTATTATTAGTTTCAATAAATATTTTTTTTCTAAGTTTATACTCCATCTTTTGCTAATTTTGTTTAAAATGTCTTAAATATGGACACTGAGGAAATATTTCGAATAATACAAGAGCCCTGCTAGCATCCAGAGACGGATATTCAAAGCATTATGCTCAGGAATCATGGTTATAGTATAGACTTATTACGGTTATTATTTTAAGGGTGTTTCGCTCAGGTTTCATACCAATGATTTCAGATTTCATTTTAACTATTAGTATGTCTGTATTGATCTATTCTAACATCAGTATATTGTAAAATGAATACATTTAAAATTAGAGTTTTAAAAAGCGAAGATGTGCACTTATGACAACTCTTCCTCCGCCATTTCTTACACTTGAAACTATCTCCAGTTTTCGAGATTCTATTATGGCTTTTGTGCTCCCTAAAAACTAATGAAAGATTTTCAACTAGTTTATGTTATCAAATGTTACTTTCTTCCAATACTTAAAATTTTTGTTTCTCTGAAATTTTGAATAAAAATCCTGAAATTTCATTTTCTTTCACTGATGGATAATTTTTAAATTGGTACCCAGCCATTATACTTAGCATATCGGTTTAATTCTTTAAATTCTCTCAATTAACGAATACTTTGCTTAATACAGTTCTGCTCCATGTTTACGAGCACCCACTCGTCGATTATTTTCTTTTCTTATATCATAATATATTGTAATTCTCAAGTCTCTCAGCTTTTCTTAAATTTTGAATTCTGTTACACTTTGAATAATATATTACTGTATCAAAAACTGGTTAATTCTTTATATGAATTATTTCAGCAGTTTTCTGATAAATTTTATTTCTGTTGCAAATTAAGAATAAATTTACGAATTTATAATTATAGAGGATTTGTTGAAGAAACCATGGAAATAAAATGTTGAAATAACACAAATTTTCAGAAAGCGGTTTGAAGAATTCAAGAAGACGATTTTTGATATATTGTAGTTCAACGCAGAAGTAATGCCGTTAGTGCATATATTGTATTTATTACACATTATCTTTTTTTTTCCGGTCCGAGTAGCGTTCAAAAATTTTTATGACACGATTTCTCAGCTCTAAAGAAAAGGTGTTAATTTTTTTAATTAATAATTTACTTTTAGGGACAAAACTATGAAGCATTTAAAGATTAGGTGTACGCGTAGTTCAATAAAAATAATGTTTATTGTTTTAGTACAATAAATTTTGAATTTTTGACATTATTTTCGGAAATGACAGGACAGGTATCAGTTTAGTTTTGTGAGATATTGTTACGTTTTAGAACTTGTTCCGTATGTATTTTATGGGATTCGATTTCATATTTTAAGTTTGCAACTTAAAATACAATCTTTTATCTTTATAAGCAGGCTTCATCTAAGTCTAAAATGCCAATAATTGCAAAGAAAGAAATTTTTGTGCTTACTAGTAATGTAATTCTGCGTAAAGATTGTTAAAACATTTCCTCCAAAAATGTGAAGCAGAATTCTACATTCACACCAAGATTTCTTTTTAATCCTAAGAATTTCATGTAAAGAAGCATTGCATTTACAGAATTCTAAATAACTATATCTAAAATGTAGGTTGTCTGATTTAAATCAGCTTTCAAATGCAAGCCAAGAAATCTGATAAAGTGAATGAATGATAGCTGAGACTTAAACTACGACCTCAAATGACGAGTAGAAAATAAATGGTGTGTGGCAATGATGACATGAGTTACCATAAAAGGGTTATCACCGACTTTGAAGTGTCTATTTTAAAATAACAGAGTGTAACTGTCAGCTTCCGCTAATCATTAAACAGCCCAGAATGGCAGCCTTTAAAAAAGAGCTGCCATCATAACCTGTAGCCTCTCATCCATACTATCTTCTTCCAAATTCCTTCTCTAACATAAAAATAATGTAGTACATGAAATCATGCAATTCAGTGTATAGAAAGTAAATACAGGGAGAACAAGAATAAGCCTTTTAGAGAGAGGGAGAATAAGCCTTTGACATGTGAGAAGAAGCTTTTCTATCCTTAAAAGCCTCAACCTCCATCGAAAGGTATGTTTTCTAAGGAAAGAAAACGTGCATTCAGAAGCTTGAATTGATTTTTAAAGCTTGCTTTCTATTAAAATATAATTTTCGAGATCGGAGAATTTTTTTGTTGAAATTGTGATTTAGTTTCATGAAATAAATCCTAAATCCCTCTTATTCAAAGCTCTGATGACTTCGGCTAGAATTACGATTTATTTCAAAAATTGAGAAGTACCGCAGCTGGGATCCAGGACAATTTTAGCTCGGGTAGAAGTACAGTAAAAGCTGATGTCTCTTTTTTCTTTTTTTTTCTTTTTTTTTTTTTTTTTTTTTTTTTTTTTTTTTTTTTCCCCTAGAATGCATTAATACTTATTTTTTATGCTTTGGAGGAGTAGAAAGACGTTTGCGGTTACCGCCAAAACGTTAGGGTTACCGCCAAAACCACGCGAAAACATCGCAAAAAAAACAAAACATCGTAACAACAAACAAAGAAACAAGAAGAAAACATAGTAATCTGTATTATATCGCCTCCGAAAATAAAGCTATTCAAAAACTTCGCAGTTTAAAAGCAATGCCGTTGAACTGTCGCGGTAAAAATAACGTGCCTACAAATTATCGCATGGCGATAACATGCTTTTCAAGGCTTTAATAGTTGTAAATGCATATTTGCATAATGATTTGTGAGTGCAAGAAGGGATGAGGAATATTTTTGTTTTTATATTTTTGAATTAATTAATAAATTTCTATTGAAAAATTAAGTAGAAAACTTAGGCATTCAAAAACTGAAAATAAATAGAAAACTAATGCTACTTACAACAACTCACAGAGCTTTATAATTTGATAATTAATTAAGCAATTTTAATAGAGGTAACCATATATAGTTATATCCACCTTCCTGTTTTTAATCTTTTTAGACTACATTTTGCATGAAAATTTACCAGTAAAACTTCTTAAAAGAGATTAACTAATTAATGACCTTTATTAGTTAACTATATAATAATTAAATTTAAGATTTCAGTTGCTATATCTAGCATTATTTTTCTACTCATTTTCACTTTTTAAACTCTCTTCTTATTTTTCCAGCAAAAATTTATTATTAATTCAAAAACATGAAATGTAAAACTAAAAATACTCCTCATTTCTTTTGAGCTCATTATACGAATAAATACGCATTTATAGCTTTATAAGCCTAAAAAACACATGCTTGTGACGTTATCGTCATACGATGATTTGTAGGTGCTTTATTTTCACCACGATATTTTCGACGACGATGTTTTTAAACCGCTTTCTTTTCGTTGATGGTGTTTTGCGCCATCATGTTTTAGAATTGCGATGTTTTCTAAAAGATTTTTCTCTTACGATGTTTTGTACGACGACGTTTTCGCTATGCGCTGTTTTCTCTTTGACGTTTTCGTTCGTATTTGCCGCGATGTTTCACTTGTCATTCCTAATTCATCGTGTATCATTCCTGATAAAGAAACCATTATAAAAAGGGAAGAAATGTTTCCACTGCTTTGAGAAAACCATCTGGTTGTCTTGGTTATAATTGATTTCCCATGTGTGTTTCAGTTTTTCAGATATAGTAAAAAGGGAGGAAATCCCTTAAAAACCAAAGAATTCTGAGTTCTAAATCACTGACCGATTATGACTGAGTCGTAATATGCAGCATTGTGAGTTTTTTACTTAAGGGTCACGAATTTTATATTTAACTAATTAAAGTATGATGAATATTTAGTTAATTGTAAATTTGGTTCGATTGGAACTATATGAAACTATATTTTATTACTTATGTAATCCATTCACTCATTATGCAAAAGTTATTTTCATAAAATTATATGCCTGTTTTGAATAATATTTTAATTCGATGCATATTGCGTCTAGAGTTAATATTTAAGAAAATAAGCCAATAGAATATTTTCCGAGGCTACTTCATTAAAAGTAAGCAAATTAAAATGAATTTCCTTTCTTTTCAAGACTTGTGCCGAAACTGTCTAATGAAATGATACTTAGTATGCTTTCAAGATGGTCAGATTAGTTTTTTGTATATTTAATTTTATTCAATCTTATCATTATTAAACACTGAACTTCAGCGGAGCGAAAAAAAAATGAATCTCTAGGAATTAAAAATAATTCTATAGAAATAAAAGTAAGAAAGCACAAATTTTAGTAAATGAGAATTTTTTTAAATTCATGGTGATTTTTAATCATTTAATTGTAACAACACATTATTATCTTAATTATTACCTTGATTATAAAAAAATTGAAGAGCATGTAAAAAATAGAAATATAAACCGACTGAAATTCAAATTAGAAAGGGAGAAGTTTTAGCATGTAAAAATCTTTAATAAAAATTGTATATTGAAAGAATTATGCTTATGAAATTTCTGATATAAATGTTTAGGTTATGGTTGAAGTTTCCCGTGTATCAAATGCATACTATAAGATTATATTATAAGAAGAATTCATCATTATTTTTTACAAATTTTGAGAGATTATTTTTTACAAAATTTATCATTATTTTTTACAAAATTTCAGATTTTTACAAATTTTTACAAATTTTTTACAAAATTAGACTCAGATTTTGTAAAATTTTGTTGAAGAAAACATCTCGATTGGTAAACAAATCAAGTAAATGCTCAAAGAAAAAGCGAGTAACTTGATTACGAGTAAACAATACAATGAAATGAGAAATGAAGCGAAAAACACCAGAAAACCGAAACTGATAAAAATGTCTTCAGTAATAAAGAACAAACAGAGAGCAGAAGATAGTGATATAGAACACTTGTAAATATGGCCACGAATTGTTAAAAAATATTTAATAAGTGTAAATGTAAATATGGAGAAAACAAATAACGTATCTCTTAGAATTTCACTCGCACTTTAAATGGATTTTAAAGCTACGAGCATGCACTGAAACAAATTTAAAGTGATATTTTACTTCTAATAATTTAAGCGTGTTATCTCTTGAGACAAATTTTGCGCTGCTGCAATGTGATTTAGTTCACATGTCTACCAGCTCAGTTTGTTTGCTCCTTAAATTCCCAGCACCGCTTAAATGATTTGTTCTCCTTTAAAATGCTTGAAACTATTTGGATAAACTTGTATAATGAATTTTTTCCCATTCAGTTTCAGGTTGAAATAAAAATATTCATTATGTCACCAGACATCTGGATAGTGATACTGATGTTTACTTGCTGTCAATTACATCGAGTACACTCTCGGCTACCATACCACACTTTCCAGCTCTCTAAACGACCGATGGATGGCAGCTCCTTCGAAACAGACAACGTTCCCTATTCAGCAACTTATGACAGCCCTGGTTTGATGAATAATTATCTAACGTTTTTAAGTCATTTGGCAAAGAAAGATCTCTCCACGGATGACCGGACAATCCCGGATGCTCGCAGTCCAAAAAGGGACAACCGAAAATTCCAGACACAAGGATGGCGCTGAATTCGGACTGTTGTGAATTTTTGCCTTTTAAAATATATATTCTGAAAATGAAATATGGAAGCGATCAAAATATATCGCTACATCTCTATGCTACTATGTTAAAATATTTCTATAGGTACACAAAAATGTAAAAGAAAGGATTACTTATAAAACACTAATACATTTTGATTGACGTGCTTTTACTTGAAATTTAAATCTTGTTATGAATGCTTGTCAAGCAGATCTTCAACAAGTGAAGACCATTTAATGGAAATACTCTACCATCTTTGGTTTTAATTTTTAAATTACCAGCTGCGGATAAGACTTACGTTCTAAAATCAGAAATACAGAAACATTAGTGGATGGTTGTTAAGATCATACCTTAAATCAGCAGAGGAAGACGGTATATAATGAGATCATAGGTTAAAATGGACAGGGGAGGACAATTTGAAAACGTTAGATTCCCGCTTGATTTTGTGGTACACTCCCTCGGCATCTTAGGCGGTAAATTAATTCACAAAATACTGATCTTTTACTTTTCAGGTAATCTCTTCCCATCATCCAAATAATTAAAATAATACTTTGATTATTATACTATAATCTCAATATCTATCAAACTGATGAGTTAGCTTAATTTTTTTAAGACTCCACTAAATAACAATGTTCTTATAAATGCCTATGGGATAAAAATAGCTGCCCGTCAGCGTGTTAACATTTTGGAACTGCGTATAAAATTTCATTTTTAATTGTTTTACTTTAAGACGTTGGTAATTTAAGATGCTGTATCTTTGAATTAAGTAATATACGGATAATAGCTTTGCCAGATTTTATTAAAGAAAAATTAAAAGATTTTTCATGTTATATTACATGCTCATTCCTTAAACATGAATGGAAGTTTTGAACATTTATTTCGATGTGAAGCATATAAATATAGCAATATGGCGAGAATTGAAGTAAATGCGACTTATAAATAAAACATACAAGTTAACAAAATGAATAAAAATATTTAGCCATGTAACATTTAAAAATTAAATTTTCTTTACTTTAAGATTTTGTGTTTTCTAAAAGTTGGTTTCCACCCACCACCCCTACACACATTATGATAAATTTTCTTGGCATATCAAAATTCATAGCTATCTACATGTCGAAATTCATAGCTATCCAAAGTGCTAAATTCGTCCACTTTTTATTTCTAAAATGAGTTCCTTGCTTTGCAATGGTAAAACAGGCATTCACAAAAAGCAATAGGCCTGGAATGTTGAATAAAAACCACACTACTTTACAAATGTTGGCTACAAATTTTGTTAGTATTTAAGAAAATTAATGAATCTATTTAGAAACATCACTACCCTAAAAGTTAATACTTTCAATGGGGTCTGCTCTCATATCATTCTTCGTGAAAATTATCCAGATTTACTATCACCGAGAATAAATATTTACACCGAATTTTAGTCTTCATAAGTTATTTCCTCGTATAATGAAAGGCTTTCAAATGAGAGATATTTATTATTTTAACTAAAATCACATTTCCTTTTAGACGGCATTTTTATAAAACTAACAGAAAAAAATATGTATTTATCATAGATTGTTTTCAGTTTTTTTAAATAAAACTGAGACATTTCCTTCATAATTTTTGTATGAAAATGCTGAATCAATGACTTAAATCATTACTTCAACGAGCTGCCAAAATACGGATCATTAGGTCTCCGATTTTAAGTAAGATTTTAAGTAATCATTGTGTTTAATGCTTCTGATAGGCTTAAATAACTTAAATCTGAATTTGCAAAAGATATAACAAATAGCAGCTTAACATTTTTTGGAAAACTGTAAGTTTATTAATATAACCTATTTTCATTGTCATGAATTTCATCGTAGAAGTTTAAAAAAATAAGGCATCAATGCTCTGGGAGTAGTCAATAGAAGCAGCCCAATTTGTATTAATCTAGCTACATTTTGAAATTAACGAAAGATGTCTTTTTGACTATGTGGCATAAAATTTCTCTGAAATCCTAATTAAAAACTGAAATTGTGTTTTGTCTTTACACGCAAAAAAACTGGTTATGTGACTTTAAATATGTTTCAATGTTATACGTCTTTTGAGTATCAATGTCTAAATTTTGAGTAACATATTTCAAATCATTATATAGTATACGGTTCGAACAGCACAGTGAGAATTGTGTGGGGTACGAGTATTTCACAGTAGTATTACAGAAGTGCCGCCACACTGTTAAACAAGATGATTATAATTCCTTAAAACAGGAGACATGTTTGTAGTTTAATTTTTCAGGTACAACAGAGAGGATTAGAAAGGAGTAATTTAAGATTTTCCATATTTAGTACTGACTGAGTTCATGTTTTTCCATCATGGAAATTATTTATGGGCCTTTGAATAGCATTTTAATGAAACCAGGAGATATTGGATTTTTGAGCCTTGAATTTTTTCTATAACAGGAAAATAGAAAACGAAGTTCTCAGGAGTGGCCTTTTACCTTCAAGAGTATAGATCTGTTGAAATCAGGTTTGTTTCAAAATAATATATAGGAGTCGTATCCTGCAATGAACTGGTTCGCGAAAACGTTAGTCGAAGTTGTTTCAGATGAGATCTTGTTATGGAGAATATGCAACTTAAGAATTCCATTTTTGTTAAGACTCTATCGAAGTATTTTTCTTTGCTTATTTTCTTGAAAAATGAAATTTGGGAAACTGATGTCTTGTTCAGGAAATGGAGTATCTTCCTTTGCTTGTTTTATCAAAAGTTTAGCTTACTGGATTCTTCCTTTGTCCTACATGTACTTTTACCCGGAATAACTCGACAGAAAGTTACTGGCTTTGTGTTAAAATGTCAAAAATTTTTGGAACGATGTTTAAATCATTTTTCAATCGTTTAGTGCTAGTATTACATCCTGACAATTTTTAAAGAGGGAAATGTGAAAACATATTCGATGCCTTAGAGGTAAATATTTGCTTTATTGCAAGCAGCTACGCTTGGAATGTACAATTATTTGGCCTTACAGATTTCTAAATTTTCCTCAGGATAGGCGCGATCAATATTGTTGTGTAGCTTCGAATCCCCCTCCAGGAGCTGACTCAGGAGAACTCCTCAAGAGAATTCCTGAGTTAGCTCCTGGGAAGTACTGGCTAGAATCTGTACTTAGGCAGTCTTAACCACGGGAGTATATAATCAATCTCCATAGTGAATAGAACCATCGTTTATTTGGTGGTAGGTTTAGTCTCGGCAGAGACTATACTTGTACTGTCTTGTACATACCTTCGGCTGAGGTGGAGCTATATAGTTAATAATTATGGCCAATTCTTGAAGCTTTAGTTCCATGGGGACCGACATAAGCCATCAGAGCACCCAGTAAACGATTCTCTATGCCAACGGAGTGATGCCTGGAGGCAAAAAAATGTCCTATACTAATTTTTGCTTCGATTTTTTATTTTACTAGTGTTTCAATTGCTTTGTCCCATGCTTTGTATAAAGCCGGTAGGGTCCAAGCCGGGCGCTCGCTTTGATGGTCCTCGGAGGTTGGACTTATTCTCTGTACGGTAAACACCAGGTCAGAGGTCCATCTCTAGCGTAACGTAACTAACTGTAGCTTCAAATTTAACAAGCTCCACGCCGATCGGCTTGATATCCTCCATGAACAAAATAACTAAAGCTGTGGTTCTAAAAATCATCGAAAGCTATAACATACTCATACCTTACCAATTTGGATTTCGACGGAGCTTCTTGAAGACTCATCAGTTATACAGTTTGGTGGAAATGATTTCGGAAGGAATCCAACACAAATACACCCCTGGTTTATTTCTAGGTATAGGCAAAGCTTGCGATAGGATTTTGGCAGGATAGACTTATCTATAAATTACTCACCCTGGGTTTCACAGGAAATATCATAATCATCATTTAAGTTCTACTTAACAGATAGATACTTTGTCGTTCGCATCTCCAACACATACCCTCCCGTCAAGGTCTCCTAGCCGGTGTCTCATACACGACTTCCTTCTGGTAGTCATATTATTCAATATTTATCTGAACAACATTACACAAAGCGATTCAAGCATCATAAAACCATGTCTGTACACTAGAGGCCTGGCTTGTGAAATGGAAGATTGAAATAAATGCTGATGCTATCTTTCAATGACCCCACACATTCACTCTTATTATCTTAAAGGTTTCGGGCTCGTAAAACAGTAAATATACGGAATTTTCAGAAATAATATAGCATTTTGAAGAAAAATAAAGACACAGAGAGAAAGAAGCTAATTGAAGAGGCAGTTTTGCGAACAGAAAAAAATTTAAAACGTAATCTTTTGAAAACTTAGTATTGAACAAATAAATTAATAAAGATTAGTTTTTAGACATCATAAACTGCAACCAAACATTAGATAGACTGACAGCGAATTTTCACCAAATCTAAACATTAATGATAGAGAATTGAGAAGGTTCCAACAAACCCTGTTATTAAATCAGAGGTTGAACATAAATGTACAGTTCGTGCTTATAATTCAGCCAAACACAGTGACAATGCAATTTAAGGGGTATCAGCAACCCCTATACTGACAATGTTAAATTGCCCATTTTCGATGCCCCTTTTTCTCAAAATCTGCTGTAGATACATGCTTGAATTTTTTTGTGTAATTAAAGTATACCTATCTGATTATACAGAAATGAGTTTTTGAAACATTTTGAATTTTAGAGTAATTTACAGAATATTTTGTTAGGCATAGTAAAATTTAGAACTTTTCTCACACAAAAAATTTTTTAAATTCTTTTTTATTAGTTTATGACAAAAAGCTCATTTCAGTAAATATTAGGAACCTAATGAATAAGCCATAAAAAGTTTAGATATCTATGAGCAGTAGCTCCTGAGAAAATTTACATCGATTATAAAAAAATCCCGTTTGGAGAAAACGCGTTTTTATGTAAAAATCCTCATTTATCAAAGCATTCGATGGCAAATTAAAACAAATTTTTTGCAGTTCTAATTTTCATAGAGATTAAAGAATGATATTTTTAGAAAGATAAAAGTTTAGAGAATTTGAAAATGCAAAAATCCGAAATAACCCTTTTTTGAAGGTTTTTGGGTTCCAACACCCCTTAATTTAAACACAGTGACAATGAAAAAGAAATTTGAAATAATCTGAGAGCCATCGGAATGAGGATTTAGACAGGAAATGAGAAAAGCTGGTAAGAGTTGCAATAATACCTACAAAACCTAATAAAAGAGGCAAGCCAGTCAGAGCTTAATTTCTAAAATTAGAAATATTGGAGCCCTATGGAAGGCCATTAGGAGAGAGGAATAAAAATAAAAGAATAAAAAAACTAACAAAATAATTAATATCCAGTTAAAAATTAAAATTAAATAAATTTTAAGACATAATTAAAAGTTTATTTTTTTCAATTAATTGTAATTAATTAAACAATAAAATAAAATAACTGGTTTCATCTTATTTAACGCTTCGGTTGAATTCAAACGCTCAATGTACAGCCTAATGTTCTGTTTCAAGGGATGACGGAAACAAAGATAATTCTTTCTTTCAGAACACCAGTGAAGAAAAGTAAAACGGTGAAAGCGTTACTAATAAGAATAGATGAAATGCTAGAAACAATATGAGAATACGGAAGGAAATTTTAATGGAGAAGTGTAGGTATGAAAATAAAGGGAGATGAGTTTAATGCATTCTGACCACCCTCCTTTATCAACGTAATTCTAGCTATCATGCATATTGTGCAAAAGAAAAATTTTACTCGAACCTGTGGGCAATGGTTGATCTATAAGCTAAGAGAAAACGCAAATTTTTGTACAACTAACCATTTTTATTTCCCATATTTATTTACATCGTTCCAAAAAGTATGCACGTGCTCTTTTCCGAGGGGCATATTTGAGTCCTTAGTACTTCATTATAAAATTGTAACGTGGAGTGGTAATGTAAACAATATATCCCTTTCCTCGCTCTACTGTAACCCGTAAGCATTTGAATCTGCAATTACCGAATGAATGGATGCGGCAGCATAAACAGAGTGCTCATTTTTATTACTTTCAG